GAGAGGCCACTTTACACCTGTCGCCGTGGCCTGCGTTTCTGGCAGGGAAGTGCCGGAAAAGGTACTCTCATGAGGTGTCTGTGGAAATGTGGAACGTGACTGTCTTTTTGAAAAGTAAGCTTTGTTAAAATTATATATAATATCTATCCATTGATCGAGAATCCCACTTATAAGTGCTTACCTGACAGACATACAACTCCCAGAGACAGCGGACATACAGACAAAGATGCTTTTGCAGCCTGTTTACAGTTGCAGGAAAGCGTAACCAAGTGGACGTCCCATCCATGTGAATGGCTGAAGCAACTACGGAACAGTCACCCTGTGGAATTTTATGGACTGTCAACAATGAATCAGAGCTATGTCGGTTTGTTTGGGGGGGTTTCCTTAAAGTATTGTTGAATGAGAAAAGCAGGATGCAGGAAAATGTATATGAAATGACTCCATTTTTATAAAACGATACATGCATATGAGTATTTGCATATAATTTAAATGTGTCTGTCAATGATTACTTGACTATGGAGAAAACATACGGAAGGTTAGATATGAGAATGTTAGTAAGTTACCTAGGATGGAAGAGGAGGGTACAAGCTGACATAGCCGGTGCAGGAATGGAGGAGGGAGCCAAGCCCATCCTACGCCCACCCCTGAAAATTGAAAAGCAGGGGCCTTTGGATTTAAAGGACTGGATTCTCTTGTCCTGCAGCCTAGCTAGCCCCCTACCCGACAGTGCTTAACTCCTGGGACCCCCCCCACCCCCCTGCCCCCTTAGCCACCCCTCCACCCTCCTATATGTGGCCTTCCATATTTTCCTTCGTGATTCTAGAATGGGGCAGCCGAGGCACCAGGGGGAGGGGAGGCTGGGAGGGTCCCAGTGTAGGGGCCACTTTCAGTGCGTGAAAATGGACCTGGGGCTCTAGAGTGAGCTCTCGCTCTCCCCAGGCATTTCGGCAAATTCATGGGAGTCAGGGGACCAGGCTGGAAGGAATATTAAGTCACTCACTCGACTTGAGTCCTTCAGTCTTAGCTTCAGATCTTGTCCTCGGAGGGGACTTCTCTGAGTCGGCCCATCCCAACTATTTCCTCTCATCGTACTCATCACAATTTGCCATTTTGTCTTTATTCGTCTGTGTGTGTGTATGTGTGTGTCTAATGTCTATTTTCCCTAATAAACAGGGAGCACCACGAGGGGAGGAATCTAGTACTTAGCATGGTGTGTAGCAGGGGCTTAAGGAATATCGGTTGAATTCAGTAATTTACTTACTTATCCTCTTTTTCATTGACTCACTCTTTTATTCCCTTATTCATCCCAGAAACATGTGCTATTGGCCAACGACTTTTCCCCTATCCGAGTCTTCCACTTTCCGGGGTGGCTTTTTGGGGGTAGGTGGGGGTGTGGACGTGACTGCAGAATTCCGGGAATGCATCCACAACTTGGGAGAGCTGGGTGAGTCGGAAGCTCTCCAGGAAAGGAAGGAGGATTCCAGACAGCTGGGAAGTCAGAGCTGAGGGTGCGGAAGGATCAGAGAGGACACAGTTGGGAGTGATGGGGCGGAGGCTGGGCACAGGCAGACTCTTCTGCCTGCCCCAGGCCGCATCTTCCCACTGCCCGACTCCGGGCCTTGAGCCATTTGCTTGGCCCAGAGGAGCCTCTCCCCATCTCCACATGTTGAAATCCTACCCTTCCTCGCAGGGACAGCCCAGATGTCCTCGAAGTCTCCCCTCACTCCTGCAGCTGGAAGGGCCGCTCCCTGCTGCAAACAAACTCGGAGCACAAATCTGGACCTCCCTTGTGGCGCTGACCACTTCCTGCCTGTGCTGTGCCTCGGCCCCTCCCTCTTCCCAATCGGCAGAGGATCTGTCCGACTGTTCCCAGGGATCCCGCAGGGCCCAGCACAGAGCGGATGCTCAGCTTGCTCTGGCCTAACATGTGAACAGCACTGTGCATTGACTACAGTGCTGTTTTTCGGATGGGGAAATGGAGGCACAGACAGGCTGTGTGACTTGCCGTTGCTCCCCAAAGCAGTGGAGGAGCCCAGACTCAGCCCTGCGTTTCTGGTCCCAGAGGCAGTGCTCGCTCCAGGGCAGCTTGGTGGGAGGTGGGAGGGTGGGGTGGGGTGGGGTGGGAGCTGGGTCCTGAGAACCAGCAGGCCGGAGAGGTTTGGAGTTCGAATGGCCAAGTTCAGGCAAAGCACAGCTGGGGAGGAGCCAAGGTATTTATTATGCTTGGTCTGCAGCTCCAAACAGAGCTGATGGCTGGAGCTGCTCCAGCTCCTATAAACAGCTCGACCTCCTCCCTGCCCCCTCTCAGCCACCACAGCCCCACTGTTCAGTGAGATAGGGTGGGGGAGACGACCAAGGGAGAGGAGTGAGAAGAGAGAGGGAGAGGGCGGGGAGGGAGGAGAGGCAGGGAGGAGAAGAGAAGACAGGGTCCTGCAGGGATCTGGAGGGTGGTGAGAGAAGCTCCTTTCTTTGCCTCACCACTGGCCACTGCTACCCCTGGGCAGCCCACACCCTGCATCCCCCTCTCTGTCTTCTGTGTCCCCTGTGTCTGTCTGAGAAGCCTGTCACCCACTCTCTGTCTGAGGGCTGGTCTCAATCCCCACAAGTTTTTCAGTCCTGGAGGGCGGGGGCATCCATTCAGGAAACATTTTCTGAACTCACCTTCTGTGTTGGCTCATGGGCCCTGAGGACACAGAAGGGGCACCAGGTAGGACCTCCCTCATGGTGGCAGGTCAGGCAGACATCCTGGTGCTGTGGCTGAGGGCAGCCTGGCACAGTGGGCAGCTGGAGGAAGGAAATCAGGGCAGTCTCCCTGGAGGAGGTGATGTAGGCAGGGTTGGAAAAGGAGGAGTTCAGCAGGTGGGTCTGGGTGGGAGGGTGAGACAGTTCAGGTAGAGGAGGTGGGAGAGAGCCTGGTGTTGGGGAGAGTCAGGCGGCCAGCCCCTGGACGTGCTCAATAATTGTCAGCTCTGAAGACAAGGAGGGAGGCGGCCAGAGAGATGGTCCTGGAGGGCTGTAGGGACCTGGACTTGCAGGACCTGTAAGCTGCCCAAAGGACAGGGGCACAGAACGCAGACAGCGGGTCCTGGTCCCCCAGGGGGTGCCCGCACAGGGAACTCAGAGGTGAGGCAGCTGGTGGGCCATGTGCTGCCTCCTCCCCTCCTGCCGGGACCTGTGCCCGTGGACTGAATGAGCCGGGTGGCCTGGCCCCGCAGGCTGTCTGTGACGGGGGCAGGTGAGGGCCTCCCCTCCTCCTAGAACTGCCGGATGCTCTGATGACCTACTTGGCAGCTGTGTCCACGTTTGGCTGAAAACAGGAATTTCTGCCTCACTGGGGGTCTTGACCAGGTGAGCGAACTCCCCTGTTTTCCAGGAAGAGGGGTCAGGGACCCGGGGGGCTCCCCGCCAGATCGGAGGTTCACAGAGCCCCGGGCTGAACTCAGCCCGCCCTCCTGCCTTCCCTGAGGCCTTTGTGGCACACCTCCTGTGTGCAGGGTGTTGAGTCACATGCCCCCTCACCCCCCAGCCCCATCCGTGAAATAGGCATTTACAACTTGCCTTTGGAGAGTAGGAGCTGGAGCAGGAACTGGGAGGTGAGAGGCCACGGCCCAGAGATGCTGGGCTGGAGAAGTCTCCAGGATGCTCGGGGGTGGGGAGACCAGGCAGCACTGGGCTGGCACCATCAGGAGAGGAGGTGGGGGGAGAAGGCGGGCACCTGCAGAGGCGGCAGTGTCTGGGTGTCCAGCAGCTGAGGACGGGAGGCGGAGCCACATGAGGACAAGCGCAGGGGGCTGCAAAGTGGGGGCGGGGAGGCAGGGGGACCGTCCCTTCCTCTAGACTCTGCTTCAGAGCCCCCTGCCTGCCCCACGCCCACCACTGGTGAGGTTGCACTTGTCCCCTCCCCCAGACCCCACAGCCTACACCCTCACCCTCCCACTCCCTTCCAGGAACCAGGAACGCTTTTCTGCTGGCCCCTCCGGCTCTTCTCCCAGGTTCCGCCTTGAGCGGCAACCTGCCACTCAGTTCTCCAGCCCCCGGGAGACCTTTAGCTCTCTTAGGGGTGGAGGGCTCTGGGTATCAGGGCTGGACACTCAGGAGGACCTGGAGACAGAGCTGTGGGCATCCTCGGAGCAATGGGGTGGCTATAGCAAGGGGGCGATGACCTTCCTGAGGGAGGAGGGCCTGGGATGGGGTCCTGGCGCTTGGCATTCAGATGCTCCAGGAAGATGAGCACACAGCAGGGCCCGAAAAGGAGTGGCCTGAGAGGAAGGAAAAGCACGTGTGGGGGGTCCTAGGTGCCAGGAGAGTGTGCCCAGGGAGGACGCGGTGAGGGGCCCCCACAGCCGAGGGGTCAAGGAGGTGCAGTCTGAAAAGTGCTGAGTTTGGCAAAGGACGCCTTCAGTGACCTTAGGCGGGACAGTGGGGGCACAGGAGGGGCTGAAGGCAGCCTGGGGTGGGTTGAGAATGGGGCAGGGGCAGCTACTTTCCCAAGAAGTTTACCCCTGAAGGAGGAGAAGGAAGGGAAAGCGGTTTAAGGGCGTCTACTACTTCTGCGATGGGCAAGACTCAAGACTCGAGCACAGCTGAAGCCTGAGAGAAAGAAGTGAGCAGAGAGTGGAGGGAGCGAATGAGAGGAGGGGAGAGGACCCTGAGCAAGGGAGGGAGGGTCGGCACTGCCTCTGAGATGGGGCAGAGGGGCAAGCTCAGAGAAAGGGGAGCAGAGGGAGCCGCAGAGGAAGGAAAGCCACCATGTTCTCCGTGGGGGGGGGTGGGGGGGAGAGTGGGGTTTGTTGAATGTGACAGGACAGCGGTCCCGCAGGGGATGTGAGCAGGGCTGAGGCCCCAAGGTCCATGTGGTGATGACTCGGAGCCTCAGTCTCCCCCCACAACAGTCCTCGGCCTATCTCCCCAGGGGTAGCATGAGGATTCCAAGACAGTAAGGGAAGCAGAGGACGGCAGGGTTCACGCCGGTGCAATGAAGCAAGGAGCAGGCTGGCAGGTGAGCTGTTTCTCCAAAATCATTTTTTAATACATTCACGTGGGTTATACAAAAGGCTGGTGCCGAGGCCGGGCTGTGGCCTGGCTCCTGGGAGGTGACAGCAGCATTGTGTAGTGTTTGCAAAGATCAGGCGGGAAGGGGCCTGCACCTGGCCCTCCAGGCCCGAGGAAAAGCATCCGTGTGTGGTGAGCACCTGTGGGCGTGACCCCAGCCGGACCCGGGACCCGACGCCCCCGGCTGCCCCTGACGCCGCCTGGGCCCTGGGCTGGGCCAGGACACCAGGTTCCAGCCCCGGCTCGGCCATTGACTCCCTGAGTCCTCAACCCCCTCTGGGCCTCAGTTTTCTCATCTGTAAAATGGGGCAGAGAGAGAGGGGCATTTTCATCATCTCCTTTATGAGCACTGTCGTGAGCCAGACCGCGGGCCCAGCCCAGGCAAGAGGGGCAGACAGTCACACAGGGTCCGGCCTGATCCCAGGGCTTCCCTTCTTCCCGGACAGCCCATGATTCCACGGGAATGACCGATAGAGGGTGATACCTGGATGGGTTTTTCTACCCATTTTTCTTGGGGAAAAAAAAATGTCTGCACGATGAGGACCAGGAAGAGAATGTGGAGTCAGTGTTCTCTTGGGATGTGAGAGCTGAGAGAAGGAAACCACTCAGGTCCAACCCCTAGTGCCACCACATGCCCCTCAATGAGGTCTGAAGCCACTTTTTTCACAGGCTCTGCCACTGACTTGTGCAGCTCTGAGCAACTCCCATTCTCTTCCTCAGCCTCAGTTTCCCTGTCTGTGCAATGGGGAGGTTGGACCCAGTGGTCTCAAACTCCAGGTCACGCTCTATGAAGGGAGAGGGGATGAGGGAATGCAAGAGCAAGAAGAGAAAAAAGGGGGCCCACAGCAGTCTGCAAAGGAGGGAACAAGGGAAACTGAGGCAGAGAAGGAGCAGAGGGCCCGTGGCTGCCTGTCTTCTCTCTGCCTGCCTGGGAGAGAGGAGGGAGAGGAGTGGGTGGGTATGTGCAACACAGGATGCTCCCAGGCCCTGTTCTGGCCATGTGGGACCACTTCCGGTCCACCTAAGAGCCTGCAGCTGCCACAGTGACAGAGCTCAGGCCGTGGAGGCAGGAGGAGATGAGTCTGAATCTCACTTATGGCGTTTCTTAGCTGCAGGACCCTGGAGGGAGACTTCAAGCCTCCTTTATAAAACGGGATAAAATACCAACCTCAGAGCCTTGTCATAAAGAGGCAGACGCAGGCTTGGGTTTGCTACAGCTGCCAAGCCTGGGGCAAAACAGAACCAGATCCCAAAGATTCTAACTCCTAGCTCAGCGGCCAGGGTGGGGCTGGGATGGAGCAGGGGCCCCGGGCAGGGCGTCGGGGACTTGGGCAGTATTCGGGCCAGTGTGTGCCGCACGGGAGTGCCAGCCAGGGAAGGAGCCCCAGAGCAGGAAACGGAATGGTCAGGCCTGGGCCGGAGCCCAGCACGACAGCGTTTCCCCAGGCCCTGCTGGAGCCGCCGCGGCCCGCCAAACAGCGCTGGGTCCAAGACGGACTCATGTGGCTCCAGCTCTCTTCCGGTCACAAGCTCTTCATGTTCCAGAGAAGCTGAAAGTCATTATCAGAAGATGTGACAAACAGTCTGCTTGGAAACGTCTCAGACCAAGGCTCTTGGTCTCGCCCCTTGGTTACCCTGGCCTGGCCGGGGGCAGGACCGTCCACACGCAGCCAGCGGGGCTGCAGGGCTCCCACACCGTGTGGTCACTGCATGGCTCTGCGACCACCTCCCCTCCCAGACCGGGAGATGCCTGAGGACAGAGATGCGTCTCGTTCACCAGCGTCCCTGGGAGCCCAGAGCAGGGTGTGGCACACAAGAGATGCTGGTGAATGTCTGTTGATCTGATGGGTCAGCTTTATTCTCTGACAGTCCTGGAACTGCTCAAGTTCCGGCCTCCACAGCTGGGCCACACGTGCGGCCTGGAAAGTGAGTCACTTACCAACGCCGCCGGACAAGGGAAAGGAGCCCAGGGCTGGGATTCAGACACCAGGGTTCTCGGACCCTGGCTCACTGGGTGACCTTGGGTCAGTCCCCACCCTTCTTGGGCTCCCCCACTGACCCGGAAGGGTCTCTGGGCTGAGCTGTTCTGCAGCCCCCGCTTCCTCTAGGCTTTGAACTGTTGGTTGAACTTCTGCCGGCGGACGCAGCAACAGGTGGCCAGGGTGGTGAGGAGGATGGCAGCGACCAGCGTGAAGGTGAGGATGATGATGAGGTTGACGGTCTTGAGCCCCCCCTTCTCACAGTCCTCGGGACGTACGTGGCTCAGGGACACCTCCTCCTGGGAGCCGAAGCGGCAGATCAGGTCCTGGGTGGCGTCCACGTCCACACGGCCCTGGTGCAGCTGGGAGGCCAGCCAGCCATTGCCACAGCAGCTGAGCGGATTCCCCTGCAGGTAGAGGCGCCGAAGGCTGGTCTCCAGGCCGCCCATGGCGCTGCCCGGCAGGAGGCTGAAGCTGTTATTCCTCAGGTCCAGCACCTCCAGCGACACAGCCTGCGTCCAGGCTGGCAGGCGGCTCAGGCGGTTCTCGGCGAGATTGAGCCGCTTCAGGCAGCTGAAGCAGGGCAGATCCACCTGCAGGACGGCCAGCCCATTGCCCTGCAGGGCCAGGACCTCCAAGGAGGCCTCCAGGCCTGCCAAGGCCCCTATGGCCACATCCAGCCCAGGGTTGGCAGAGAGGTCCAGCTCGGTGAGTGGTGTGTGGAGGAAGGCACCTGCCCTCAGCATCTCCATCTCATTGTCCACCAGGTTCAGGATGCGGAGGGAGGAGATGCCAGAGAAGGCCACACAGCCTGGGGGTCCAGGCTCCCCGGGGCCCCCACAGGGGCTGACTCGGTTCCCCTGCAGGTTGAGCCTCTGCAGGCTGACCAGGCCGGCAAAGGTATATGGGGGCAGGTCCCGCAGGGCATTGTCCTGTAGGAGCAGCGTCCGCAGGGACCCCAGGGCTCTGGCACCCAGCTCCAGCATCTCCAGCGCATTGTGGCTGACGTCCAGGAGCACGAGGCAGGGCAGGGAGCCCGCCCGCTGGGCCTCAAAGGCCCGCAAGCAGTTTCGGCTGAGGTTCAGGAAGCGCAGGGAGGTGAGGTGCTCAAGAAAGCCCTGGGGAATGAGCTCGATCTCATTGTAGCTCAAATCCAGATTCAAGAGCTGGGAGAGTGGGTGGGCGCTGGCATTCCGGCTGGGGTTCAAGAGGGGCAGCGCTGACCAACCCTCGGAAGGCGCGTGGAGGCCCTCGCCGCCCGGGGGCGGCCCCGCGGGGAGCCGGATGAGGTTGTTGGACACGTTCAGGAAGGTGAGTCTTGGGAGCGCGGCCAGGTCAGGGAAGTGGAGCAGCTTGTTCTCCCGCAGGTCGAGCCAGGTGAGCTGGTACTCGGCCCGGGGCTCCGGAGCCGTCTGAAAGGCCTCGATGCTGTTGCAGCTGAGGTCCAGCACCCGCAGCTGCTGGAGGCTGAAGTCGGAGATGCAGGTGAGGGAGTTCCTGGAGAGATTGAGGTGGGCCAGGCGGGGCAGGGCGTCGAAAGCGCCGTCCTCGATGTCCATGAGCACGTTGCTGTGCAGGTCGAGCCGCTCCAGTGCTGGCGTGCCCCCGAAGGTGTGGCGGGCGAGGCGTGTCAGGCTGTTCTCCGCCAGCGAGAGGGAGCGCAGGGCGGGCGCCTCCCCCAGCAGCCGCTCCACCAGGCCGCTGTACAGGCTGTTCCCGGACAAGTCCAGGGACAACACGTGCGGCAGGGGGCCCAGACCACCAGTGCTCAGCGCGGTGCCCACCGCCAGGCGGTTGTGGGCCAGGTTGATGTGCTCCAGGTGGGGGAGGGCCTGGAAGACCCCTGGCTGGAGGAAGCTGATCTCATTGGTGCTCAGGTCCAGGTGACGAATGGCGGTGTAAAAGCCCAGGGGTGACGCCAGGATGCTCCGCAGCTGGTTTCCAGATAGGTTGAGGGCCTCGATGTCCCGCGGGAGCCCCGAGGGGACCTGGAGCAGACTAAGGCCCTGGCACAAGACCTCCTTGTCCACCTGGGGAGGGGGAGGGCAGGAAGAGCAGTGGGCATTAGTGGGTGCAGCAGGAGGTGGAACCAGACATGCTCCTCTAGGAAGGATGACCTGAGGCCCCATCAGGCTTGGCTAGGCTTCTCCGCTGGCCTCCCAGGATGCTGGCCGTTCCTCCATCCCAGCCTAAGCACCCCATGTCTGGATGACCCCATCCGGCCCCCTGTCTCTGGCACCACAGACAGTGCTGGCATCAGGGAGGGAATCAAGGAAGGTTTGATGGGTAGACAGGCAGAGAGATGACAGACAGATAGAAGGACAAACGAACTAACAAAAAACCATGTCCTGGGGCCGGCCCCGCGGCCGAGTGGTTAAGTTTGTGCTCTCCACTTTGGCAGCCCAGGGTTTCGGATCCTGGGCGTGGACATGGCACTGCTCATCAGGCCATGCTGAGGTGGCGTCCCACATGCCATAACTAGAGGGGCCCACAACTAAAAATATACAACTGTGTATCGGGGCACTTTGGGGAGAAGAAGGAAAAATAAAATCTTTAAAAAAAACTAAAACAACAAAAAACCCTGTACTGATTATTATCCCATTTTACAGGAAACTGAGCCACATATCATCTAGGGTGATCCAAAGCCAGTGAGCAGCAGGGCCAAGCCGGGACCCAGGCCTCCGGGTCCCACATCCTGGGTTCCCTCTATGGGCCCAGAGAGTGAAAGCTACCCAGCTGGGGTTAGCATGTTTCCAAAAGGGAAAAATGCAGTTTGCACTCCTGTCATCAGTTTTTATCTTGACTCCCCCCAGATCTCATTCAAGCCTTCATCCCGTGGGGCAGAGGCCCGGTCCCTGAGCCTACCTTCCTCCCTCACCCTCCCCAGGTTTGACCTCCTTTCTGCTGCTGCTCCCCACCCCCACCCCTGTCAGAGGCTTCGCTTCCCATGGCCGGGTCCACATCAGCCCCAGTGGTGGGGTAGGGGGCAGGGGAAAAGACCGCCGGGGGCCCAACCCACATCTTTGATGACATGACTATGATTTTGCTGCGTGAGACCCATCAGGTCACATTACCACTCTGGTTTCTCATCTAGAAACTCATACTTCTCTAGCACCCACTCCACATTTTATATTTTTATTTAGCATTTTCAGACCCATGGTCTCATCGGATCTTCACAATAGACTGCCCATCAAATATGATCACCCCGATTTAAGAAACCTGAGCTCAGAGAGGGTAAGGGAGGCTCCAGGATCACCCAGCCGGGAAGGAGCAGAGCTGGGGTTTGAACCCAGGTCTTTAAATAACCAAAGGCCCCACTTTTGTCCTTCCACCACATGTGCCTTCTGGAGCCAGAATTCTTTCTATGCAAATGCAGTATCCCTCCCATCTTTTCCAGGAACCCCAGCCTTTCCCAGCAAAGGGTCTGAATTCCACAACCACCCAGCTCAGGCCCACTCCTGCCCTGGCCTCTGTCTCCATTGACCCCTTCTGACCCATCCACCAGCCAGATGCCTGGCAGCTGCTCAAAAACTCTACTCTGACGGTGCTGCCCTCTGCTTAGACCCCTCCAGAGCAAAGGCTAGGACCCTCAGCATCGTTCAAGGCTATTTGTGGTCCCTGCTGACCTGTTTCCTCTCCTTCCAACCCACTCAAGCCCAGCCCATGTGCAGTGACCACACCTGACCGCTGCCCATTGTGCCCTCCCACACCTACCTCTGGGCCTCCTCCTTGCTGCTCCCTGTGCTGGTTATACCCTTCCCAACTAGATCTGCATGGTGAACTCTGTGTGCTGAGCTCCAGGGCCTCCTCCACCAGGGAGACTTCCCTGACTGCCAGGCACGTCGGGGCCTCCTCTGGGCTCTCACAGCTCCTGTGCCTCCTCTCTCAGAGCTTTGGCCCCCTGAAATGTGACCTTCTATGTGGGGACCTGCTAGACAGTGAGCTCAGAGCAAAGAGGGACTGGTGTGATTGGTGTGGCTGCCTTGGACCTGGCCCACAGAAGGTGCTCAGGAAACCTTTTTTAATGAACGAAAGAGTCACAGACATCATCGGCTTAGTGAATGTCTGAGGGACGGACTCAATCACCTTTCTGAAAGGAAAGGAAACGGATGATGATCTTTATATCAAAGTCAAAGACCGTTAGAGCCAAAAGAGTCCGACCTCCCATTTCCCAGATGGGGAGACCGAGCCTGAAGGTGGCAGTGACCTTGCGAGGTCACAATGAGTCCGTGGCAGAGCTGGGAGGGCAGGAATACCAGCCCGGGTGTTCCCTGCCTGGCCCAGCTCTCGGCTTCCTCCAGGTGAGGAGGGGGGAGGCACGAGCCGCCCTCCACCCGCCTGTGCCTGACTCCTGCTCTGAGCAGCACAGCGACTGGCCCTCCTCGAGGACACCCCGGCAGTCCTGCCCGGCTCCTCGCCCCTCCTCCCTCACGGCCTCTCTGCCAGCTGGGGCCACGAGCAGAGCCTCCTCATCCCCATCCTCAGCTCAGAGACCATCCGGATTAAAGCAGAAGCCGCAAAAGGAACACGAACACACTGACCGCCACGAGTGGGAGGGCCAGCTCTGCGCCAGGCTCATGTGAGGGCGCAGGCCCCTCCCTCATGTAATCCTCCTCCGCATTACTCACCTCACTGTACCCCTAAGGAAACTGAGGCTCAGGGGGTGGGCTGCCCTAAATCAGGGGGTCAGAGGCTCAAAACCACCACTGTGGGTTCCTCTTCCTTCTGGTGTCAGCTGAGTTCTGACCACGAGGCCCTCGGCCGGGCGAGCACCAGGCTGATCCCTTGGGCAGTTACTGAGTGTTTGCAGGGGGCGGGGGCACATTACCCCACGTGCAAGCCCACACCTCGTCTCATCTCTGGATACTCAAAGGCTCCCTAGGGCAGCAGTCCCTGAGAGTGGAGCCGGGACACAAAGCTGGCCAAGCCCAGAGCCTAAGACAGGCTTTCCGCTCAGGCGCCCAGGTTCGCCGTCACAGAGGCCCAGGGGCTGCTGGCAGGCAGGGCTGCACTGGGCTGCCCAGCTCTCCAGTCCAGGCCAGAAGGAGCTGGAAGGCCAGTGCAGCCCGTGGCACTCCGTTTCTAGGCCGCCCATGGCTCCCTGAGCTCCCAGTCCCCAGCATGACTGACGTGTGTGGGGAGGGGTTTTGGGGGAACCAGCCCTTAGCCAAGTTCAGAGCTTCTTCTGACGCCCCCCTACCCACTGTCTCTGGGATGCCGAGATGCCACTGCCCAGCTATTTTTTCATTTTTTTTCTTTAGGAGGGAAGACGACTTGCCACCCACCCCATTTTGCCACCTGCACATAGAAGGGACCCAGAGCAGGAAGAGTGACCCGGCAGTGGACAGCACCAGCTCGGGGAGCTGGGTTCAAATCCTGGCTCTGTTACCTCCTATCTGTAGGGCCCTGGTGGGTCGCATCCCTTCTCTCAGCCCCAGGTTCCTCAGCTGAAAAGAGGAATTCTAGGCAGGACAAAATGAGAGAAAGCCCTTAGCAGGGTGCAGGCAGCTCGCAGGCCCTCAGCACGTGGCAACTTCTTTCTACTGTTTTGAAATCATCATAACTCCTTCCACAGTAGTTCGGAAAGTGCTCTCCCACCCATTAGCTCGTCCTCCCCAAATCCAGAGCCCATCTGGTTTCCCCCGCCTGTCGGCCGGCCCAGGCCCTTCTCTTCTCTGAGCCTGCGTCCCCAGGTACAATGGGGGGCTGCATATGGTGACATCTGAGGCCTTCTCTGCCCGTTATTCTGGGTTCTGGAAATCTCGGAAGGGCTCCGAGGAGCAAGAAGCAAGGTGGCAACAGCAAGACCCTGCAAACCCCAGGAAAGGCCCGGCCCTGGCTGCCAGCACATCCAGCTTCCAGAAGCAGCTGCCCATCCTGGGTCAGAAGCTTCCAGTCCCAGCCCCAAATGGGGCTGCCAGAGGGCCTGTCCCTTCCCCAGCCCAAGCTCCAGCCTTGACCTCAGTGACTGCCCACCTTATACGTGGACCTAGAAGGTCCCTTTTCCCTATACCCCATGGGGTCATAGTAACTTCAGGGCCAGTCCCCCGGTTCAGGGCAGGAAAAAGGAACAAAGTGAGTCAGACCTGGTCCCCTGGCCTCAAGCAGTTCTTGGTCTGGCAGGTGACACAGGCTTAGACCTATCTACCAACCACCCCATGTGTTTGAGACAGAGGGAGCTTAGGGCTGTGGGAACCCAGAAAAGGGAGCAAACACAACCAGGTCAGGCTGGGAGCAGTCAGGGGAGGCTTCCTGGAGGAGGCAGCATTTGACCTGGGCAGTAATGAGAGACAGGCATCTGAGCAGGGATATGGCAGACAGGCCCATGTCAAGGAGCCCAGATAGGGAAGAGGATTTGTCCCCAGGAAGGACCCAGTACAGAAGAGGCCCTCCCAGCTGGCCCACCCCAAATTCCCCACACATATACATATTCTGCATCACTCAGCTGGGCCCTCGGCCCTGTGGGGGCAGCTTGGGGGAACAGGCTCCAATATTGGCCCTGCTGGTCCTGGTTGGATGACCTTGGGTCAGTTACTTAACCTCTCCAAACCTCAGCTTCCAGCTATCTAAAGTGGGAATCATGGTACTCAGCTGGCAGAATTCACAGTAAATAAGGTATTTAAACATCCTAGCGGGTGCTCATTAAATGCAAGGCTTGGCAGAACTGAGTGCATTCTCTTCCTCTCCTGCCTCTTCTAACTCTGGCGGCTGGGGCGGGAGCGGTGGGACACCCTAGGCTGGGCGGCTGGGGTGCAGGCGCGTGCCCCTGCCTGGGCAGGCTTCTTACCATCTTGCAGGACACCTGGTCTCGGTGTTGGGAGGCAGCCAGGCTCAGGGTCAGCACGGCCAGGAGCAGCAGGATCTGGTGGCTCATGGCTCTGCAGAGGGCAGGAGGAAAGCGGAACACAGTAGGACCACAGGCTCCTTCCCATGGCCAGCCTGTCTGACCCACCCTCGGGACCCCCCGACCACAGCGGCAGCTGGGGCAGAGGTGCCGAGAATGGGGCACCTCGTGAAGGGGCTGGGAAGTGGGGCTGCAGCCCATCATGAAGGGCCTGCGCGGCCAGGCCGAGGAGCCGGGCCGTTGCCCTGGGCAAGAGTTTTTAAGCGGCGGTGACATGGTCAGATTTGGGTTTCAAAAGCCCCTATCGGGTGGAAGACGGCCTGGAGAGGGTGAGCAGGAGGCAGAGCGACCCTGAGGGCCGCCTGGGCCAAGTGCAAGGCTGGGGTGGGGTGAGGTGGGGGGCTGGGCCTCTGACTCCACTTCTACCCAGGCCACAAGCAGGTCCCCCATCCTCGCTCCTCAGGCCCCAAACGGAATTCCTCGACCCCCCACCCCAGGACGTTTATTTTGCCCTTTTCTTTTGATTTTCTGATTCTGGAGTCCCTGCCATTGTTTGAAGGCTGGGCCCGGAGCCTTGACAGGAAGCCCCACCAGGAGGCCTGCCCTGCCCTGGCACTGTGGCCGTGGACTTCCCCAGGAGCAGGCTGCCAGGCCCTCTACTTTCACTGAAGCCACCGCCAGTGCGGGGACGCTCAGGCCTGCTGGGCCAGCCCTTCTCTCTATGAGCAGCCGGGGTGGCATTGAGGGTGAGCACAGAGGTCCTCAGCAGGGTCGGATCCCAGCGCTGCAAAGGGCTCCCTCACTGAGGACCTGGGCCACGTGCTAGGAACACACAGATCAATCCACCAATTTCATTCATTCACACCTTTACTGAATGCCCCCTCCTGTCTGGCTCTGTGCTGGGCACTGGGGATGCAAATAAATGCACAGAAGTTACATACAAAGCGTTAACAAGGAGGGACACGTAAAACCCTCCAAGAGCACTGGACTCAGAGTCACCCATACCTGATCACTCCCTCTGTCTCCTCCACTGACCTGCTGTGTGACCTTGTACAAGTCACTTCACCTCTCTGAGCCTCACTTTCCTCTTCTGAGGTTAATGCCAACCTCGCCAAGTTTTGTTAGAGATCAAATGAGATATATTCTATGAAAGTGCCCCTTACAGAGCCTTATTATGCACCAGGGACTCTTCTCGACACTTTCCATGTATTAACTCATTTAATCCTCATGACAGTTCAATGACTTGACTGAACTAAGCCAATGGTTCCATGACTACCATTCCCATTTTGCAGACACAGAAAGAGAGACTCAGAGAGATTAAGCAACACGCCCAAGGTCACACAGCTAACAAGTGGCAGGCCCAGGAAGTCAGGCCCCTGGGTCTGTGCCCTTAACCTCTACACTGTAAGGTCTCCCACAGGTGCTCGATCAATGAGCACTGAATTGTGACGTGAAGGATGCTTTAGAAGAAGAGGTATTTATAGGGCCTCTGAGGGCTGGGTCTTTCCTGCTGGAACCCACTAGCGTCCTTGCGATGAGTTTGCAATGAAGGTGGCTGCTCTGAGGTCCTTTCTTGCTCAAACAGGCCAGAGCCACAGCCCTGTCTTTTCCAGGGTGTCCCCTCAGGGCCATGGGCCCCCCGCCCCCGCTGCTGCTCTCCTCTCACCTACATTACAGGTCGGGCTTTCACAGGAAATTTTGTTCTGCTGCTTAAAAAGCAGAACATCCCCCTCCTTGTGAAAGCCAGCGTACTCAGAAGTGAGTGGAAACCCCTCAGCGGGGCCTCCGAGGCCCTCAGGGAGCCGCCCCGCCCGCCCGCCAGCTCTTCTCTCCAGCTTCGTTTCTCACTGTCCCCTCCCCACTCTGGGTTCTGGGAGCCTCCTATTTCCTCCAGGGCTCTGAGCACCTTTTCACTGCCCCACACCTTTACTTCCTCCTCTCTCTTGTGCAAAATACCTCCTCAGCCTTTGGGGCTCAGCTTAAGGCACCTCCTCCAAGAAGCCTTCTCTGGTTCCCCAAATCTGGGCTGTGTATGGCCTCTCCTCCAGGTTCCCACAGCCCCCTCGCGCAGCACTGAGTGTTCCGTGGTTTGTCTCCTGACCCCTCTCCTAGGGGACGTGCCTCTAGGGCACAGCTGGCTCGCTCTCCTCTGGGACCCGGCTCCACCATGTGTAGGCCAGGCCGGAGGAGGAGGCGCTGAGAACTGACACGAGGAGTCTCGGGGACATGGTGACACCGGCGAGAGCAGCTCTTCACCTTGACTCTCCCTTCACCAGGCTGCCCCACTCCTTCCCTCAACAGGGGTTCTGAATGCTCGACCCTTCCCGCTGTCCCTCGCAGAGCTGCCAGGGCCACGTCCACTGGAGTACCTCCAATAAGACCTAAGCGCCACCCCACTGCTCTGCTCCGTCCACCCTTCGCCCTTCGCTAGCCCAGTTCCAGCTTCCCCGACCTTCCTCCAGCACAGCCGTGCCTTCCTGCCTCGGGGCCTCTGCCCGTGCTGCTCCCGCCAACCGGAACGCTCTTCCCCACTTCCCCATGTGGGTGATGGTTTCCCTCACATGGATCACTCCTTTATCATCTACTTCTTACTGTGAGAGCCGGGGTCTAAGTGGTGCTCACTGAAGGGACAGCGAAGCCAGGGGTGGAAGCCGGCCCGCAGTGGGCTGTGTGGTGATTGCGGGGTGAGGCCACGGAAGGACCAGATCCCTTCTGAACCTGAGGGAACTGCCGCCAAAGGGGCTCTCACGTCCCCCTCCTCTGCCTGCCACATGCCACCCTACCCCCAAGGTGAGCATCTGCGCATCCAGCAGGGACGGCCCCTGCAGCCCGGGGAACTCTGCCCTGGCATCCAACAGGAAGGGGCCCTCAGTTGTGGGCACCCTTCAGCAGCGCCCAAGACACCGTATGCAGCATTGGAGGGCTGCTGGCTCTCGAGACCGAGGGGAGAGAGGACAGGGCTCTGAGGCCCAGGCCCACGTGCAGACTCTAATGCTCAGCAGCCCTGCTCTCTGCGCCAAGTCTGGTGCGTCTGGGTCCCATCTTAGGGCAAGCAGCCCGGTTCCTGTCCTGCCCCTGGCTGCCCCCAACCACTGTGATGATCAAGCTGAGGACGGCTGTGAAGCTGCCCCCGGCAGGTACTGTCTTTCCCAGCTGGGACAATGACACGCAGGGCTGAGCAGCCCAGGCGAGGTGAGCTGAGGAGGGAGGCCCCAGGCCTGCAGATAAATGGCCTAGGCCAGAGGAGGCAGGAGGCATCGTGGACTCTGACTGGGAGGTGAGATGCCAAAGAATATCCATGTGTGTGTGCGTGTGTGTGTGTGTGTGTGTGTGTGTGTGTGTGTGTGAGAGAGAGAGAGAGAGAGAGAGAGAGAGAGAATTGGGGGTGGGGGGCAAGGCCTACCATCATAATAAGCCCATGCCTACTATTTAAGGATGTTAGACACTCTTCCACACATTTGACCTATAATCATCTCATTTAATTCTCACTGTTGTTCTTCCAGTGAAGTAGTCACTACAATTTCCATTTTACAGATGAGAAAACTGAGGCTCAGAAAGATGAAGTGACCAACCCAACAGTTACTCAGTTTCCAAGTGTTTGGGGATTTAGGCCACGTCTACACGACACAAAGGCTGTGTTTTCTCCAGCAGGTGCTGAGCTGCCCGCCCCTACAGAACTGTCCTCATTTTGCCCATGAGGCAAACGAGGCTCAGAGAAGTGACTTACCCAAAGTCACACGGTAGCAAATAGTGGAGTTGGGATCAGAATCCAGTCTGTGCGCCTCCAAAGCATATGTTCCCAGACCCCCGGCCAACCTCTCCCTCTCTAATCCCCTCCACGGGTCTCCCCACCCTCAACGCACACCCCCAGGTAGACAGGCTCCCAGGGGCCGGCTCCGGGGTGCTCCTCTCGGCCCGGATCGCTGGCAGAGCGGGGTCCTGGGAGAGCCGCTGTGGCCGTTCCCACCAGCAGTGAATCACTCAGGGCAAGCCCCATTCTGGAGACATGTGCATCCCGCGGGGGAATTAGACCTTAACCCAAAGGAATGTGGCTGTGATGGCGGAATTTCAGACAGCTCAGGGTGGGGGTGGGGGTCCCCTCACATCTTATCATCCATGAAGAAGGCAGGCCTGGAGCCCTTTGGAGAAAGGTGGGTGTCCCCCCCCCCCCCAGACCCCGCAGATGAGCAGGCTATCTGGCGCCGTGGGTCAGGAAGCCCCACGCGCGGGGCCTGGGTCAAAGGGTGGTAGGAGACCTGGATTCCAATCCTGGTCTGGCCTTGACTAGCTGTGTGTCCCCAGCAAGTGCTGGCCTTTCTGCCCTTCTTTTCCCATCTGTCAAATGGGACCGCTGGCCTCGCCCATCGTGGGAAAGGTCTGCTGAGACGGGAGCCCGGGAGACCCCCGGGGCCGAGGGAGGGTCCACCCTGGCTCCGCGCATGCAGTGGGGGCGGCGTCCCGGCGTCCCGATGGACTGAGCCGTGCTCTGGGGGCGCGGGCCGCCGTCCCGGGGGGCGGCTCCTACCTGGCTCAGCGCGGCCGCCGCTCCTCTCCCGGGCAGCCCCGGCACATTTTGCGCAGCCCTGCCCCGCCCGGTCCCAGCCGCGCCGGCCCCGGGGTCCCGCGCGAGGAGGCGCCCGCCGCTCCGCTGCCCCACGGGAGCGACCCGCGAGGGGGCAGCCGGCCCCGATTTAAATACCCCTCCCGCCCACCCGCCCACCACGCCCCCCTCGGCCGGGCCGCGCGGTCCTAGCGCCGCCAGCGCGCCCGCGCGTGACTCGGTTTATCCGGAACCCGCGAGGCGGGGAAGCATCTTCTTGACGCTGGAGCCGCGGCTGAGAAGGGGCGGGCCGAAGGGGGCGGGGTGAAAGGGCGGGGAGGGAGCGGGGTCGCTAAGGAGGCGCTGGGCGAGCGAGGCCGGCGGGCCGCCGCACGTGCAACTCATGGCCGCGCGGGGTCCGGAGCGGGGGTGGCTCCAGGAGCCGCAGGTCCGCAGAGGAAATCCGGACTGGCCCCGATTTCCCCGCTGCCGGCGCCGCTGCACTTGGGGAGGGCCAACAGGAGAGGTGACGGCGGGGGCTGAACGCGGAAGGAAATGACCCTTCACTGGCCCTGGGGCGGCCACGGAGGGGGTTCCCCACCCCGCAGCCATCCCTTCTGGCGAATCGAGGCAGGGCGCTTCCCCTCTCTGGATCGTGCTCCGCTGTCCAGACCTGTCCTCCTCCACTGTCTCCCTGATCTTTAAGCAGCCTTGTGAAACAGCACCATCAAAGTCCCCAGTTTTCAGACGGAGAAACTGAGGCTAGGGATGAGTATAGTGAATATAATTAAAAAACAGTTGTCTGGGACCAGGAAGGTCCCCATTTATATTTGGGGAAACTGAGTCTCAGAAAGGTTAAGTGACATTTCCAAAGTGACACAGCCTATAAGAGGCGGAGATTTGAGCCCAATTTGTCCACACGGCTAAGTCCAGGCCATTCCACGCACTCTTTTCCGATCACCGTCTCGCTGGCATGGTTTTCAAGTGCTGTGCAAAAGTGGTGCTGTGGTGTCAGTGTCTTTTACATCAGAGGGTGAGGCACACCTTCCCAAAGCCACTCCCTCTTCTAGGGGCCTCGGCCTAGCCAATCACAGGGACGCTGCCTGGCTGGTGTGGACCCAGGGATGAGGGTGCCTGGGGGAGGAGGGTCCCACTGTCCTCTGGGCCCTGGTTCCAGGGGTGGAGAAGAATTCTTCTTCCTCTGTGTTTCTCCTCCCTGATGGTCAGTGGCCCTGAGAGGGGCACAGGGTACCCCACGTTACAGATGGAAAGAGATCGCAGACTAAAGCTGTGCTTAGCAGCTGGGCTCCCTGCGTCCTAGATGGCTGCTGCCATTCCTCCCTCCCATCTCGCTCACTCTGGGGACAGCCTGGGCAGATGGGGACAGCCCAGAGAGGACAAGCTGTGATGGGGTGGCCCAGGGCTAACCTCGTCTCAGAAGAAGAGATCAGAGACAGCTTCCCTCTGGTGGGGCCTGAGCCGCAAGGTGGGCGGGGGCGGGGAAGGTGGCAGGACCTGGGCAGTGTGTCCACAGCTCCCCTTCCCTCCTAGCCACCGGAGCCCTCAGACCTGTGCTCATGGAGGTCCCAGCTGGTCATCCCAAGCCCTCTCTGGATCCTACTGCTCCATCTGGTCAGACAGAACCTCAGTTTCCCTGTCTGCTGGGGTTGGTGCCAGAACTAAGTATATGGGGCCCAGCCTGGGGCCTGCACCCGGTGGGTATGAGGTCATTCCTCACTGTATTTACCGCAGCCAGTGATGATATTTTTGCTGTGTACCCTGTGGGCTTCCTTTTCCAGATGCTTGTCCAAGGGGCCACATGTCCAGGAAGTGCTCGTGGCAGCCCTGCAGGTGGGCAGAGCGTGGTTGAGTTGGACTCAGGCAGGTCCCAGGGGGCCTCTTTTGTCCCACCTGCTCCCCCTCCCCCAGCCCCAGGCCAGCTGGGCGCTGCCCCACCCCTCCCTGAGCCGCTGGGCAGCCGAGCAGAAGCCGCTGGCGGGGCGGGGGATCTTGGGGGCTGGGCGGGAGCAGCCCACCTCCCACACCCCTTCCAATGGCTGTGGTTTTGCTTAGTTAGTTCATGGGGTTCCACCTCACTCAGTGCCCGGATGGGGCTCCCCAAGAGTTGGAGACAGATGGGCAACCAAGCGTGTCCCCCTCTGCAGAGGCCTCTCGGGACTGGGGGCTAAAAGCCGGGAACCCCACGTGCTCAGCGCCCCTCCTTCACCTCTTCACTTCTTCAGTGGTCATGTTGCTGTGTTACTTTTGGCAGCTTGCTTGATCTTTCTGACCTCAGTTTGCTGATCTGCAAAGTGAGACTAGTAAGAGCACCTGCATCTCGGCTTGTTGTGAAGATCAAACGCAACAGCGTGACTTGCATAAAGCACCGGCTCCCGGGGCGGCCCATGCTCCTTGCTCGGTAAACATGACTCCCTTCCCTGGTGGGCCTTATGGCTGGTGACGAAAAGAGCTCATGGAGCTCTCGGACCAGATGGGAGGCAGACGAGAACACAGGATGGCTGAGTCCGGAGTCCTTGAAGGCCAGGTCCGGGGGTCTGAGCTTGATCTGGAGGGGCAGGGAGGCTGGAGCTGAGTAGGGCTGGCTGGCCTGGCAGCCATGTGGAGGGCAGCTTATCATTGAAAGCCGCCAAGCCCAGCTCTCCGTCCAAGGCTGCTTGGCTCCTGCTCGCGCATCTTCAGGAGCGGGGACTGCTCCTGGCCAGCCTGCAGTGGGCAGCTCAGGCTTCGCAGTGTTGGTGCTTCGCTGGAAATGCTTCCATTCCCCCTACATCTGTCGGGGAGCACAGGAGACACTCTTTTCCTGTGTCCTCAGGACTACCCTTCTGAGGTGAGAAAACCACCTTAGGCACCAAGTCAGGCCCAAGGCTCCCTGCGAGGTTTTCGCCTCAGCCCCAAACCCAAGGGTTCCGAGTAGGAGCAGGTGACCCAGGAAGGCAAGGATGTACACATCCTGTGTGACTTTGGACAAGTCACTAAACGTCTCTGAGCCTTGCTGTCCTCATTGCACCCTGGATGACCCCCAATTTAGTTTCCATTGTTCTTTGCCAGTCCTTCCTCTCATGTGGCAAATCGGAGTAAAGAGTCACAGACAGCCTTCCAGGCGTCTTTATTCTCAATTACTGACTAGGAAACTGAGGCTCAGAGAGGTTAATTAACTGACCCAAGTCACACAGCTTTGGAGCCAGGAACTGAACCCAGCTCTCCAGACTCCCAGGCCAGATGTCAGCACAAGGATGTGACTGTCCTCACTCCCTGCCCCTGCCCAGCGCCTCTGTGCGCCCCTGGGAGTCAGGGGGTTTCCTCATCAACACTTACTGGGGCCCTGGTTTCTGGGGCAGAGCCCTGGGTTCCCCAGTTCTTCTGCCCTCCCTCCCTTGCTCCCTAGGGTGACTGGACTCAGACCATACCAGCTATGGGTCACCTCCTGGAGGGCCAGCAGGAGAGGTGAGCAGGTGTTGCTGCGTGTCAGCTGAGGGGAGTTTGTGAGCCGAAAGCTGACACTGGGTACTTGGAAAACAGACGCTTCTAAGGGACAGGTGAAGCGTCCTTGCTCTGAGGACTGGCGGAAGTGTTAATGGAATGGTGAGGGCTTGCAGGGCCAGGCCTGGGCGTCCTGGCGCTGGACGATCTCCTCCTCCTCATCTGACGGGGGGGACTATCGTTGTCCCCCTTTTACAGAAGAGGGACTGAGGCTCAGAGGGGTTCTGTGACTTGCCCACGGTCACACTGCTAACAGCACAGGGCATAGCCGCCATTCCCATCAAGTCGTCAGACTGCAAGGTCCTTGTGCGTGGCTGGCGACTGGCTTGGCTGGTTTTCTGTTCTCAGTGGGGCACGAGTCACCCCTTCCTTGTGGCTGCTGGAGCAGCCAACTCAGGGCAGTAGGTGCTGGTGAGGCCCAGGGTGTCCCTCTGCCGCCACCCAGGAGGCTCCTGGCTCTGAGTCTGCTCAGTGAGAACCCGGCCTGAGGAGTCTGGAGGCTCCCGGGGGCCCCCAGGGAGAGGGGGGATGTCAGGTGAGAAAATTCGAGACCGGGTGCCGCACACAGGGCAGGATCAGAAGCGTCTCTACAGCTTGACTGTGCCGCGCCGCGGACCATGAAAACCACAGCTCTCTGCCACGCTCAGGCTGCTGGGAACCTGCGGGTTTGTCCCCTTGAGCCACCCCACTTTTTCTCTGTTTTAACCATTTGAAGGTTAACCCCTTCTCTCGATGATCCAGGGTGATCACTGTGGGCTTTGGTGACGGTCCCTGGTGCCATAGACTATAACCTCCTATTAACAACAACGGCAACCGAGCCAGGCCCCCGGTGTGGGACAGCAGCAGACACGAGCGTGCCCTTGAAGGCAGCACTAATGAGAGGGAGGCTGCCGCGGGATGGCCCCCGCCGCGGGGGATGGCGACCTTGGGCAAGTCATCCTCCCCTGGTAGTCTCGATTTCTCATCCGTAAAATGGGGACAGTCATTCTGCCAACTTCAAGGGGGTGTTGAGACGATGACACTGTGGAAAGCTGAGTGCAGTCGGGGCTGAGTCAGCGTGATTGTTGACAGCACCTCCTCACGTGAAAGTCGGGGACCGTGGTTGACTGAAGGGGGCTGTGGGCGGATGGAGCGCCCAGTGATGGGAGACGATGACTGGGAGGGGACTGAGTTGGAGGGACCTAGTTCTGTAGGCTCAGGGGACCCAGGGCAGAGCTGGCTCCTCAGGCAGGGCCCGGCTCCCGTGAGGCGAAGGGCTGTGGTCCAGATAGGGCATCCTCCAACGGTGGGCTACCCTGCCTCCCGGGGTTCCCGGAGGTCCCTTCCCAGCCCTCCCAAGCTGGGGCTCCTCGCTGTGCCGAGCTCCCCGCTGCCTGTGGGCTCCTGTCTTCCTCCGCGTGGTCAGAGCCCCCGGGCTGGCAGAGCTTCTGGAAACTGGCTCACGCGTACCCGGCGACCCACAGAGAAGGGTCGCCTCCCGAAGTTTCGGAGAATCCTGCTTGCCTTCTCTACTTCCACTCCAGGGGGGCCGGCAGATTCTCGGCCCCTGGAGCGTGGGGACGAGGTGGCAGGCGGGCTGAGCGTCTGAATCCCCCCACACCCGCCTCTTTCACTTGCCCCACGG